GGCAAGCTGTCGTCTTTGTGTAGACGGCTAGCGAAGGCGCCGGGGTGCGGGTGAGCGCGACGGTGACGGCGAGCGTGTCTGCCGTGGTCGTGAGGAAGCGGATGTGTTTCGGGTCGCCGGTGGTTCTCTGGGTTGCTTTCGTCTTCGCCGATGAGGCGGAGGTACCAGGCCCTACTCGTCTTAGTACATCATCCCACCCTCATTACAATAAACTGAATTCGGAGGCTCCAAGGACAGCTTGGAAAAAGAAACGTGTTCATTGTGTAACGGACACCGCACGGACAGAGGACAGACGCGGGGTCGTTGTAGTGGGAGAGGGGAAGAAAACTAGGACTCGGAGTTTACTGACCACTCCTTAAAAGTGTACTTGCGCGGCGGCTCGTGCCGCAGATGCTGAGTTACGCGCACGATTTCATCGATTAGGATGAGATGGTATTCAGCGCGGGACTTGGGCAGTTCGGTGGGAAAGCTCTCCCGGGCTATTGAGGGAGCTTGCGAGGGAGACTCTGACTTCGCGTCTCTGCTGGGCGAGGTTTTTGATGTCGATTCGGTTAATGTACCTCCTTCGGTTGGAGATGTTGGGCTGGATTCTCCCTTTTCGGCGTCTTTGTTGGCCCTCCGATTCGTTTCTGCGTTGTTGACTTCGCTGTCACTGGATGAGCTGCTACTGTCACTATCGTCTCCCTCGTCTCTGCGCTCCCGAGCGGCGCCCAAAAAGCCCGGAGGAGATTCCTCGATGTCACTATCCATGAACAATATCCCGCAGGACAGTTTCGATAACAAATATTTCATCTCCTTCCTAAAACCGTGTTCGCCAGGCAGAATCGTTATATTTCCGAGGAGAAGCGTGCCGTCCTTGATGCCCTTGACGATCGTGTCTCCTGCATTCGATATAAGGATAGTCATAGTAGGCAATGCGAGGAGGGACCAGAAGACAAAGAAAGACTTGGCCGAGTTCGACACCGGCGTTAGATCGCCGTATCCGATCGTCGTTAGGGCTGTAAATGCGAAGTAGAAGCCGTCGAAGTAAGACCATCCCTGGTACGGCGCTTCGCATACTTGGAAGATTTTAGCGCCTACAAGCCAGAGCACGATCCAGGTCGAGGTAGATACGGCCATGGCAGTCCATCGCTCCCTTTTTGATGCTCTACTACACGTTAGCTACTATGGCGACATGTGAAGTCTTGCTGCCCAGATACACTTTAGTATCACGGTGGGAGCTGGGATTGACTTGGACTTCTCACGGGCCGCAGCCCCTGTTACGAGAACTGCGTAGAGAAACGGGTATTGGCCACTTACTACTCATGATTAGCATATGGACGGAATAGAAGACAAGACGATGAAGGAAGGCATATTCATCTCGAGAGAAACATAAAGACTTTGAGAAGAGCATTCCAAACATACCTGTTTTTGAACCTTCCGCATCAATTGGAACTCTATTTGACGCCGTTTAAACTCCCTCAATCGAGCTCTGGAAGAAGAATCTGAAGCATCGGTGTTGACCGGCTCGAGGACACCAGCGTTTTCTTTTCGCAACATGCGTCGGACTAATTTACGTCTCTGCTTTTCCAACATCCGCGCGCTCAGCCTGTGCTTACCCCTTTCTAGAATCATACTTCGGATCGATCCGATCACGAGACCGAGACTGATAACGCCAATTAGGGCGTATGGAACGAGTAGGGCGCGGCCGAGAATGGTCTGCGGAGAATATTCGCCGAAGCCCACAGTGAAAAGCGTTACATCTGCCCAGTATACGGTATCAAGATAGTTCCAGCCCTCAATGTTACAGAAGACCAGAGCACCTAGGAGGAGGTAGACGAGAAAGACGATAGTCTGAAGCATTAGTGTCCTCTGACTAATTGTCAACTCAAAGTCCTTTGCATAATGGCCGGTCTCTGCACCCCAGACTGTGATGACCATGAGAGACGCGACTAAGAAGTAGAGAATAGCTGCGAACAAGCCGTAGTAGAAGGCTTCAGACCAGACGTACTCGATCTCGGGTTGGAGATCTAGTGGCCCACTTGCTGTGGCGCACAGGGCTATAAGGCAGATGGCCGAGATGTACCAACCGGCTATCGTTATAGGCTGCGCGATGGAAAAACGCACTCTCTTGGTCATGTTCAGCAAGAGGAATACATTTGCAACCAAAGCGATAGTCAGCTGGACGGCGTTGATGACCGTGAGCCACGGGGGATCCGGGACGAAGATGGCCTTGGTGACATCGGACCCGGGGGGGATGTGCTGCCTCCAATACTTGACAAGAGCACAAATACTGAAAGCTGAAGCCACGGGACCCAGCGTGCCAGCTATCATGGGGAACGCGGCTGAGGCGAACCACCATCGGCTATAGGCGTGTTGGTAGGTCAACCTCGGTATTCCTCGGGTCTTAATTAGGTGGCTTGCTCACCTGGGATCAAGGTGAATCTGGTCACTCATGATGCCCTGTTGGCCTTCCTTCCCATCTGCGAAGCCATCGACGACTTGCGTCTGCTCTTCGATATTCTCACCAAGATCTGCATCGTCCATCTCAATGAGCGGAACGGCCAGTGCTCATGTTAGATCGTATGTTATGGGAAGATTAGGGAGGATTTTTCAACCCATGTGCCCTGCTAGTGTAGTGAATCCGGACAACGAGGCTTAGAATTGGGTTCTCCCTTGTAGGTATATGGCAGAGTGAAATATCTATGTTCAAGTGCTGCCATGTTTTGGACTTGTGTAGTTTTATAAGAAACACATGTAAATGGCAGACAAAGGAGGGTCAGGCGGCCATATCCTGATGTGAGTGCTTCTGTGGAATGACGTCGCTTGGCATTGGAATCGCGGAGGTAGTGGGGACCGTAGCGCCGGACTGCTAGGATCAGCATAGAATAACCTGCTGGAATGCCGAGTCATTGGCACTACTAGGCACTACTAGGCACTCTGGATTGCTCAATAGCCCCACTTAGAGCCGCTGAATAACTCTCGAACCCCGGATCTCATATGGGCCTAAATTTTTATCGCCCGACGCGTCAAAATTATCATCTTCAATTCCTCATCTCTGATGCATCATCCCGTCACTCGTCCGACAGAAGTTGACATCACATCATTCTTTCCTTTCTAATACCCCCTGTAATTTAGTTGATGCTTCATGGCATAGGGACTATCAACGATAGAATATGAGAAGATGGAACCTAGCTAAGAGTTCGATATTCAGAGGCCTGAGGGGCCATAAGCCAAGATGCTATAGCGATGTTGTTAATGGTGTAGAGCGAGTCAGTGTTCGCAACGGCTCCTCAGGTTTTGTCACTATTGAGTAAGTCAAACTATGAATATTTGTGCAATTGGACTGTTTATTCTAATTCACATGAGTGAATAGTCTGCATAATATTGCCAAGGTGTCATCGCCAGACCCCTTATTGATATATCTACCACCATACTCGACGGCCTTTACGGAGAAACCTGCGCAATTGCCAAGGTTCCTTCAGAGACAGCCGACAGCAGTGATAAATTACCGTTGGGCTGGCTTCAATCCCTTCGGGGCCGAGGACTTGCCTTCTTCAGAGTCCGACGAGCAGTTAGAAGAGTATGAACGACCTCACTTGTCCTGGCCAGCTCCCATCCACGATACTGCAAGGGCGTATGACTGGATCGTCGAGAACTTCGGCCCGTCGACCTACATGCGCCGGGACGTCTACGTATTCGGCTCTTATCTCGGTGCATCGCTAGCAACCTCGCTGGCCTTGACAGAGAATCATCCTCATGTGCGTATGGCTATTCGGGGAGTCGTAGCCTACAACGGGATATATAACTGGACCATGTTTCTTCCGGACCATCCAATCAACAAGGAGCCAGAGCTGCGTTCGATGAGCATATTTGAAAAAATCCTAGCTCAACCAAGGGATCCCGTCTTCCAGGATATGAAGCAGCACATTGAAGCCTTGTTCGAAAAGCCTGGTAACCTCTTCGATCCCTTCGCGAGCTCTTGTCTGTTCTTCCATACCCCTGGTCTTTATGTGCCTCCAGCTTTCGACGCATCAGCTCTCGCCCCTGCGACATCCTTGCTCGACTTACCCACGGATACGAAAGATACGGCTCAGTTATTCATGCCCACGGAGTCACCCAGGAAAAGCCCGCTTCTCTTCCCACCAAGGAGCTCGACTTTGAAAATCCCCGAGGCGTTGCTGTTACACTCCACGCTGCCTCCATTGCCACCATCGCTCCACAGAAGGCGACAGAGGCGGAAGAAGAATCTGGGGAATAGTTTCAGGACACAAGCCGAGGAGCTAGCTGGAGTGATGCGGAGGAGTATCGATAAGGTCGAATTAAAGGAGCGCTTCAAATGGGACGACGATTTCGACTCTTGGGAGGACGAGGCTGCTAGACGGGTCCAGGTCCGCGATGCAGGGCTCGACACTGGTGATTACGGACTTGGTGCCAGAGGGGAGGAACTGGCTGCGGCTTGGTTGGAAGATCATATACGATAGTCGGCGCGAAGACTACCTAGTAGTTAAGAATTATAAGTCTGCCTCGAATCACGGGCACCTGCCCTTTTTTTTTTTTTATTTTTTTTTTTTTTTTAAGGGTTATGTAGCGGCTGCATCTAAAGGACTTGACAATATTTCCGATCCCGAAATCAATGTCGAGAATTCTGATGAGAATAGAACCACATGCGCAATAAGACACCTGCTTTGGCCTAGAGAAATGAAGCAAAACCCCCTAAGAGCGGACTTCCCCTACTCGTGTTCGCTGGGTTACGTACCTAGGACGTTCGTTGCCTGAGGCAGCAAATATCTGCATTAACCCGTTACCATGCTCAATTCAACATTCAACATGCCGAAAAAAGTTCTACAAGCAAACTCGATTGATTTCCCTTTGGATTAGTTGTATGTTTCCATTTCCCTATACAATTGATTTTCCAACCGACAACTCATTGCGCGACACAAATTTCATCGTGTACTGGTTGGCGGCCGGTATGCACTAGCGTTATAAGGAACCATAAGCTAGCCTCAATCACCTGCAGGGGTCTGATGGTCTAGTGGTAGGATTCTCGCTTTGGGTTGGGCTTTCTCAGTCGTAAATGCGAGAGGTCCCGGGTTCGATCCCCGGTCAGACCCTCTCTTTTTCTATATCTACTGTAGAAAATGGTAGTTATATTTTTTTGGGGGGGAAATTGAGAAGATGCAGTTTTGTTTTTTTTAATTCTGCGATGCACGGGTGTGTTTGTCCGGGGTAGATTGCTTGTATGGCTAAAATGTTTGTTAAAGGTTTCCGTCGCTAACGGTCCTCGGAACCAAAACGGTCGAAATATTTCGCAACTTGAGCTGACTTGACTTGTTTGCGTATAGTTACGTGGCTCATACAAGCTATTCTATATGTATAGGGGATCTCCAGCTAGCATTTCTTTGGCGTACCCTGAGGCTATGATTCAATCATGCCTTCGCCTAGATGACGTTGTCCTTCTGGATTACCGGGTTGATCTCCATAATTATCGACAAACGTACGATGTGCGATCGCCAACTTCATCGACTAGCATGCCTTAGTAGCTAGTTACTAGTGACGTATTTTCTATAGGGTCGTATGCAGTATAACCTGAGGGAATGGAGTTATAGTACAGATGTCCCAACCCAGGCCACCATTTCCATGCAGTATATACCAGTATACACATACCATCTAATGACGGGAACCGTACCACTCTACCTACCTACCTACCTACCTACCTACCTCCTTAGGTATTTATCATTATGCATACAATCCCTACCTCCCCTTCCCCTTCTATATGATTAATATATACCTCTTACCTCGTATCTCTTAATGCTTGATGGAAATCCTTTCTTTCTTTATACACCTATTCCGTATATACACCCCCCATCCCCCCATCCCCCTATCTCCTCCACCAACTCTTCTTCTTCTCATTATACCCCTCCTCCCTAACATTATGCTGTCCAACAATCGTCAAAAACACCTGATCCAGCGTCGTCGGCGTGCACGAGTAGTGCTCGATACCAAGCTCCTCCTTATGCCCCTCCAGAATAACAATAAGTTGGCCGACGGCGCTTCCGCTAGTCTCGTGGCTTCCGACCGCGCTCGCGGGCACTGAGAACCGCATTTGTCCGTGGTACGTCTTCTGCTCGACTTCGGCGTCGGGCCAGGTCTCTAGGACCCAAGTTCGGATACGCTCCATTTCCTCGGGTGTGGAGTGCGGCGCTGTTTTGCTGACGAGATGGACGTGCAGGGCGTCGCCGAAGCGTTGGCGCAGGTTCTCGGTGGTGCCCATGGCTAACATGCGCTTAGCAAGGATACCCGCACGGTTTGCGAGCGCGTCGGCTTCTTCCATACTGTGCGTTGTCAGAAGAATCGATCTTCCGGGCACGATTGAGTGGAGCGTGCGCCACATAATACGTTTAGCTGCTGCGTCGAGGCCTGAAGACGGTTCGTCGAGTAGGACTACGCTAGGATTACCCATGAGCGCGATACCCAGAGACAACTTTCTTTTATTTCCGCCGGAGAGCGCGTGAGCCATGCGAGTCGAGAACGCCTCCAGACCCACGGCGCGGAGTACTGCTCGTACGTTGTGCTCGATGTCCGGGATACCCCGGATGCGCGCGTAGAAACGCAGATGATCGAGGACTGTCATGGAATCGATGGCATCGAATTGAGGGCATACGCCTAGGTGGGCTCGAGCCTCGGCACGACGGCGACTGACGGATGTCTTCTCGACGAAAACATCGCCTCCGTTGCGACTGGGTTGAATATCGCCACGGATCAACGAGATAGTTGTTGACTTCCCAGCACCGTTGGGTCCTAACAGGGCGAAGACCTCGCTGTGCTGAACGCCGAACGTTACATTATCAACAGCCGTGTTCTTACCAAACGACTTAGTTAAGTGTAACACCCGGAGGCCGTCAGTCTCTTGTGCGGTGCTAGTCACCCGGACGAGTTCGTTCGCCACTTCCTCGTCCGAAGCAGCTGGGTCGTTGGGAGATGAAGCAGGCTTCTTCGTTAAGCGGCTGAGAAGGGAGCTTCCAGATCCGCTATCGTGCCATAACAGGAAACCGAACAATAGGATCGATTGTATAACCAGGTAAAGAATTGGTCCACCATATGCAGTCAGAGCGCCAGGATTGGGTTCCACCTGATCTCCGTTACAAGTCACAGAGAAGAGGTTCAGCGTAACGAACATAGTTCGGACAACCGAGCCAATGGGTATAAAGGCCGAAATCACGAAATGGGCGATAAGTATAGACTGGTCGATCTTGTTGACTGGCGCGTATGTGATGACGCACAGATATGCGATCAGATAGATCAGAAAGCCGACGGCCTGGCCAGCTGCGGAGAAAGCGTAGGTTGCCAATTGATTGCCGCAGAACAGAGAAATGACATATGAGAATAAAATGGACGCCAGTCCATAGAGGATAAAAATGAGGAAGAGATAGGCAACGTGGTACCAAACATCTGACTGCGCGGCAAATATACCGGTGGCGATGGCAGAGGAGACGAGGACAATTGCAAAGTCGAATGCTGTATAAGAAACCCACAGAGGAAGAGATCGCACTCCGTTTGAATATTGTAGCCCACGGACGTTGCGCCGTCTTTCAATATTTGGATAGAGACCGAAGAAAGCAGGGTATATGGAAAGAGCCAAACAGAAGTAGATTAGGAGCTGCAGAGAATCTCCTGTTGATGGTGCCCAAGGCGTATCGAAGGGTGCGTAATTTGTAGCGATACTGGTATTTATCAACATGATGTCCAAAGCGTTCTGGCCAAAGACCGAAGTGTAGACATCTCCAGCGTCTGCTTCATATGTGATAGTAGGTGGAGAATTAGCATCTCCAAGCCACCACCCAGCGGGTTTGACATCCTTCCGCCTCTGCACGACAAAGTTATTGAACTCGTCTAGAGAATCGACAAGGTGTAAGCTCTCGAGGAACGCGGCCATCGGACCTAATCCGGACTCAGTCGAGTTGTCAAATCCAGACTGACGCCGGGTCAAACTCTGGTTCTGGCTCAACCCTCGGAGGGTAGGAGCGAAAAGCCTCTCTAAGGTGGCATTGTCGAATTGCGAAGATGGGCCGGCAACCAAGAACAGATTGTCGTAGAGATCCGTAGTACCTGAGGTGTCAGCTGCGCCTTGGTCTGCTGGGCTACATCCAACGGGGTGTTGGTCCGTAACGTAGAGAGACGTCAGAGCCGCCGCTATAATCGGAATTAGGAAGGCTGCCACGTAAGGAAACCAGTTGGTCTTGAAAATGGTGCATCGCTTCATGAATAGCACTTCGATCTGTCTCATATAGCCGATCGGCCGTCCTGACAGCAGCTCCAATCCATCCTTCTCGGGCTCGCTACCTCCAGCACCTTCTTCGGAGATGGCTTGCTTGTCGTTACCGGCTTCGGTAGAGGATGAGGTATCTGGTAACTTGATAGCACTCTCGCCTTTGACTTCCTCGGCTACCTGAAGGAAAACGTCTTCAATAGTCGGGTTGGAAAACTTGTAATCTTGAATTCCTGCAGATTCGAGGGACCGTATTACTTCCGCGGCAAGGGCAGATGATGGTGCGATGTAGCTGATCACATCAAAGCCTATCTTCCGGGTGACATTTTCGACTTCCGGAGGATTCTTGATTTCTCTAGCATTGAAGACATGTACGCGATATCCGGCACCTAATCTGTCTTTAAGTTCAACGGAAGATCCCTGAGCCCGCAACGTGCCCTTCGAGAGGATGGCAATATGGTCCGCAAGAAGGTCGGCTTCATCAAGGAAATGGGTTGTGAGAATGATCGTTCGTCTTCCACGCTCGGCTAGAAGAATGTCCCAGATTTTGCGTCGGGAGAGAGGGTCAATTCCGGAAGAGACTTCATCAACACAGCACACGGCGCTTCCTCCAGTTAACATCATGCCAAGCTGTAATTTTCTCTTTTGACCACCCGATAGAGTCTTAGACATGGCCTTGGCCTTTGGTTCAAGGTCCACAGCCACCACTAAATCGTGGATTTCTTGTGCAGATGCGGTCTTCCCTGGGGATTTCAGTTGGTTGAAAATCTTGATGTGTTCCTCGACAGTCAACTCGTCCCATAAGACATTCTTCTGTGGTGCGATACCTAAACCCCCAGTGCCGTCAATTGTAATATCACCGCTGGTCGATTTGCTGATACCAGCAATTGAATCAAGAGTGGTGCTCTTTCCACTACCATTGGCACCAAGTAACGCTAGGATTTGTCCTCTTCTCGCAGTGAGGGTCAGCTTATCGACAGCCACGACTGGTTCCTTTGGCGTCGAACTGAAGGGAAGGAATCGGGTCAGTGGGTTAGGATAATAGATCTTCGTAAAGCCCTCTAAGCGGACGGCATCCGGGGGCGCCGTTTCAGCATTCTGGCCTTGGAGAATCGTGCGACCCTTCGTAGTTGTGCCATGAAACACACGTTCAAGGTAAGCGCCGATAATGGGGTAGATAATAATCTGAAGAATGAGAAATACCCAGAAAACAATGCCGGGCAAGTTCCATGGATTCTCTGGCGGCTTATGTACCAAATCCGCTGGATACGAATATCTTTCCCATCGCGCGATGAAAGTCATGAACCAAACGAAGTTACAAGGCGTCTATAGTAATAACAAGTTAGTAACAAGTACGTTAAGGAGGTACGACATTACAAAGGAGAGGCATATCTCGGAAGCCAATGGACTGCATTTAGCCGAGGAGAGATATTATCCACTTCTGAGACATCGAAAGGAGGAATGAATGAATCCGAGAAACACATACGAAAAGCAGACTAAGCGCCGTGACTGTCGCAGTACTAGGCGATGTCAGCGTCTGAGCTAGAATTGCCAGCAGAATATACGCAATCATGGTCACAACACCGGATAGTTGTGATTTCTTGAAGAACGCAGCGCCTAATATGGAAAGTGATGCCAGGGCGAGACCAGTGAGGATGAAGTAAATCAGTACGATGGCGACACTCGTATCCGCCCAGACTCCGCGCGCGATGATGATTGAACCAACTACCCAACCAGGAAGGTATACTAAGGTGAAGGCAATATGGTAGGAGAGTAATCTTGCGACTTGGGCTTGCCATCGATACTTCGTGGGCATCATGGCATCTAACAACTGAGACATGCCTA